TTAGGTGGCTTGATCCTAGGGAGGCCCTGAGCAGGTCTGCCTAGGGCTGGCCTGTAGTGTGTGGGTTCTTCACAGCACGAGCCCAGGTGATTTTGAGAGTACGTTATTAAAACGGGACAGTGAAATAGGGAAGGGCTTAGCATAAAAGGAGCCACAGGAGAGTCTAGGCGGGGTTGCTTTGGCTCACTGGGAAGTCAGAGAAAAGGGGGCCTTGTAGACAAGTTCAGGGGGTGAGCCTGGGATGGGCTGCTGTTACCCATTGCTCCCCTGGTTGCAAGTCTCCTGGAGTCCCTTTGAGTTTAGGAGGTGCACGCCTGTGGGGGGGAAGGAGAGGGGTAGGGGAAAGTGCTGGCATGCTCCTGGGAGGGCAAGTGCTTGCTGGGTCCTTTGTTTTGTTTTGAGGGTTTTTAAAGGCTGGGAGTTTAGGGGAGAATTCAATAGAATAGTCATCAGCTTTTCCAGGTGCACCCTTTCAGGGTTGTGGTCTCCACTGATTGGTCAGTGCCAGGGCAGGGGGTCATGAGCCATTGCAGCTGATCCTGGCGTCACCCACCTGGTTTTGCTGCTTTTCTGGGCCTGGAGCTAAAGTACAACTGAGGCCTAGATGTTATCTCCAGGGAGGGGACCTTCTGGATCTGGCTGTAAATTGCTTGGCCAGTTTGTTCAGCTATCTTAGTTTCCCCATTCTACTTGCCAAGGGATTTTCCCAGCTTCTTACTCTCTATCCTGCCTCAGTGGCAGCATGCAATACACATACCGACCAGCAGCTCATACTAGCTTTATTACTTTATTTTTAAAATTGCTGATAATTACAATAATGCACATGGATGGGCATAGGTCCCAGACAGGAAGCATTATTGTCTGCAAGCAGATCTGGAGTGAACTGATAATACAGCCTGTATTTACTTTCAGATTTAGATGCTGTGTAAATCTTAGGAAAGATGCCTTTTGACTGCTTTGAACTAGGAGAGGATGGGGCAGTTTCATATTTTTGTTATTTTTACAGTTGTTTTGTTGGATATTAGTAGTTAAAAGTGAGCTCGGTGGATAGAGCATCGGCCTGTGGACTGAAGCGTCCTGGGTTTGATTCCGGTCAAGGGTACGTACCTAGGTTGCAGGCTCCATCCCAGGCCCTGGTCAGTGGCATGTGCAGGAGGCAGCCAATCCAACCAATCTATGTGTGTCTCTCACATCGATGTTTCTCTCTCTCTGTCTCTACTCCTCCCTTCCACTCTCGCTAAAAATTAATGGAAAAATATTCTTGGGTGAGGCTTGACAAAGAAATATAATAATAATAATAAAAAATAAAGAAGTTAAAAGTGAGTTGTGACATCAAGATTGGTATCCGAATATTGCTTGCACCTAGTAAACATAGTGAAACATTTAACAGAATAGCATGTAGAAATTGCTTACTTGTGTTTTAAAATAGAAATTTGCCCCTTTCTGCCCTGTGAAAGTCATTTGGCAAATTGTCTTATTTTGTACTTATAAACAAAGATAAGGGTTATTCACTTAAGAATTTCTGCCCTTTCTTGCCTTTTTGGCATCACAGAACCTTAGAGAGTTAATAATAAGCTTTTGGTTTTCATGGGCTAGTAAGAACTAAGAAAAATTTTTTAGAAAGATAAGGTCAATTCTTAATATTACGGAATGTTATTTTAAAACAGACTACCCATTTACTAATGCCCTCGTTTTATGAAAAACATTTTAAAGGTGGAAAGGAAGTAATGTTAGAATTCAGGACAGTCATTTCTAAAGAAAGAACAGTTAGCAATTCTGTTGTCCGCTAATCATGTGTGCACACAAATGCACCCTAGACCTTATTCTTCAGGAGGCCACTGAAAACCTGTTGCAGACCTTACTAGCCCCCTAGTGAATGTCAGGGAACCCCTGCTTTAACACAGCAATAGAAACCACTCTACACATTAAAACATGAATGTTTTCAGCTGCATGAATTTGTTTTCTTTCCCTGGATGTATGAAAGGAAAAGGGATCCAGTAGAATCCATTTGAGATCTCTGACACTGGCCTTTCATGTTTGTGGTTGTAACATTTTTTTTTTTAGTTGATTTTAAAGGGAAGGAGGAAGAAAGGGAGAGAGAAAAACATCCATGTGAGAGAGACACATAGATCGGTTGCCTTTGTGTATGTGCCCTGACCAGGAATCCAACCCACAGCCTTTTGGTATGTGGGATGACTCTCTACCCAACTGAGCCATCTGGCCAGGGCTGTGGTTGTAACATCTCGAAGTCAGATAGAGCTCTGCAGCCAAAGCAGACATGTTGGATAGTTTCCTGACTTAACCTTGGTAAATTCACTAGGTTGAGTGTTTATTTTAGTGAAATGGGTCTGTCTGAATACTTCTTTAAAAGGTGTAAGTTGTTACATTTCAAGTACATGAAATTTTGAAATATGCTAAAAAATTACCTAATTTTTAATGGCTGTGAGAATGCATTTAATAAACACAGTATCACAGAGCTTCAAATCAGCCAGAAGTATGTTTATAATTTCTGATAATATTGCCAGGTTTGTGCTTGGAATTCCACAGAAAACCTCCCATCAGTTGTATTTCTATCGTCTGTGACTCAATAGTAATGATTTAGAATGAACGTATTTAATTATTAATATTTCATCAGCAATACTTCTGGGTGTTTTTTAACTTGAATCATTTTACCCTTTGAAGGTTTAGAAAGCACTTTCCGATATAAATTCCCCCAGGCTTGCACACACTTTATTTAGTACATTCTTAGTAAATAATTGTTTAAGTAATACTGGCCCTGAGTTCAAAGGTTAAGCCCAAGTTCACACCATTAACATCATCTTATATTAATGCTCAAGCCTCCTGGCTTTTTGACCTCTGCGTTCAAAGTATGACAGATTGCTGCCTAGCTTAGGAATCATGCAGAATCTCATTCAAGGAAACCTCTTTGTTTCCCAGCCATGTTTCTTAGATATCAGGAGTTTTTGGAAAGTGGAGTTCTGTCTGTTCTAATGTGAACCAAAGTCCAAAGTTAATATTGTAGGTGTCATTTATTGTAATATCTAAAATTTGAGTAATGCCGTATTTAGACTGCCCTCAAGTGATAGCTGAGATCAAGAGAGTGAGGAAATAACTTCCATGTAGAAGGAATATCTCTTAAGAAGACTCATTTAGAGAAATAATTTGCATAGTGCTTTTTTTAAAAATCACAACAGCGACTTTAATAGTAACTGCAGATTCGTGCAGACTCCACTTCTCAGCCAATGGAAAGCCAGACCAAATCCAGGAAGCCAGCAAGCCAGCAGCTCCTGGTGATTTTCCCTTAAATAAATAGGGCAGCATTAAAATGTTTATGTAAACATTTGGCAACTGAATTCCCACAGAATGAAGTGTAGAGAATTATTGCAGCCTGCTCTAGGCATATTCAGTTTAATCTGTAAAAAGCAATGTGCAGTCCTTTAACCCCATTTCATGCTCCTCCTGGCTTTGCGGATGACTGGCCACGTAAGGCTCTCACGTGTTCTTTTCATCCCTGGGTGCCCGTGGTTTAAGCCCCCGTTCTGTGTAATGGTAGCCACAGAGAATTAAATCCTTAGGAACCAGCCCTGCGGTAAGCAGGCGCACATTTGAGTGCTGCTCTGAGGTTGGCATCGTGCTTAGTGCATTATCTCCATTTAATCCCCACAAGCAGCCTGGGAGCAATGTGTATGTAGCAGCCCTGTTGTACAGATAAAGCAGCGCATCACACACTTCTTCTGAGATCAGAAGTGGGGTGAGCAGACGCCTGATGGTTGGACAGGGCACGTCGTCCTACCTGTGGGAATCAGTTTCTCACGATTCCTATTATGGGACATTGGAAAGAAACAGGAGCCAGTAAAAAACTTGAGAATTTTAGGTCCATAAACACTGTTCTGCATCTTATTTTTTTTTAAATATAAAAGTACTGCATGTGTTTTTCAATAACTTCGTTTATAAAAGACTTCCTGCTCATCTCAGAGACACATGCGTAAAGACAGACCTCGAGTAAATCTTGGTGCTTGGACCGGACCAGTGTAATCCAGATGGACAAATTACAGGGACCCTGTAAAAAGCCTAGGAGACCGTCTAAGCCACTTTTAGTCTTGGCAGTGATACCTCACTTATGGTCGCAACCCACAGGTTGAGAACCGCTGCTTTAAAGGCTCCAAACTATAGGCACCTCTTTGACAGTAACAAGAGTGGACTTTCTTGTCTTAGGCTCTGAGCAGAACTGCAGTTGTCCTCCCATTGGAGAGAAATCAGACTTAATGTTTGTACACATGGGATTTTACCACGTTAGAATGTGTGCTCATGTGTCCAGAATAAAACAGTATGTTTTGTAGGTATTGGGCCTGCTCTGATTATACTTACTATTTGCCTTTCTCTTTTGACAGATTGAATCCAGGTAATCATGATTGAAATTCAGGCAGGCAATGAACAGGATTAAGAAACCAAAACCAGTGAATTTTGAACTAATTTTAGAGGTTTTTTAAAAAAGTTGCAAAAATACTCTAGAGAGTCCCCTATACCCTTAGCCCACCTCCCTTAATATTAACATCTGATATAACCACAGTGCAGCTATCAAAACTGGGGGATTGACATTGGTTCAGTGCTGTTAACAGATTTACAGCCCTGAATCCAGTAATTTCTCCGCTTCTCCCATTAATGTCCTGTCCCTGTTTCAGGCCCCCCATTTGCATTTATTTGTCATTTCTCCTTCGTCTTTTCCAGTCTCTAAGTCCCTCTGTCTTGCCCAAGTCTTTCCTGTTGGTATTCTTAAATGTCTTATTGCTGGTAAGGTTCATGTTGGTGCCTCCACTGTGAAGTAATTTGTTTCCCTTTTTGTAGTCAGTGAATATCTTAGGGAACTATCTTGACACTATGGATTTTAAGTCATGTTAATGTACAAATCACTAGTATCCAGATAGTAAATAGATGTTCCAAAGGCGCTTACCATTGCTCAGATTTATAAGAACTAGAACTGCGTTAACTTGACTTTGCAGGGTGAAGCTCGGCCACCTGAGAGGCTGGCATGCAGCACCTTCCTGTCCAAGGAGACATGATTCACTCAGTCATAGGATGGAACCCTCCTCTTTAGAAAGAAGCAGCGCCCTCCCCGCAGGCACCCTCACAAACCCTAGAGCCAGATTAGATGCAGCAGTAGCTTCAGTGAGGGAGGAGGTAATGGGCTTGCTTATTTGCTTGGATTGGGAGCCTGCATTGGTCCCGAGTGGCTCTGTGAAAGGAGGCGGGGCTTAGCTGGGGGTGTGGGGTGCAACTCTCCAGTGATGATTAAAGGGCTGGGGATAGGTTAGGTTCAGACTTAGATTTATTTATTGCCTTCAGCCATTTCAGGTTTTCAACCAAGTTTCTAGAAGCACTTTTTACCAAGTTGAATTTCTGTCCTTAAATAGCTAAACTCTCTTTTCCTGATCCAAATTAATACAATGGAATTTCTTATTAAGAATGAATTATTAAGTAAAATGGAAGCACTGGGCTAGGACAGCAATTGATGTAATTTGTTTTCAAAGCCTTCAAAGTGCTGCAGCGCGCATAGATCACAGGCACTGGCTTAAGTGCCAAAGCACGGGCATTAATTTCCTTTCGGAGTGGATTCCAGGTTCACAGGATGTCAGAACTGCTGACTTGGCAGTGACGTCCCATTTGTAACATGTTAGATCAGGAAACAGATTGATTTATACGTTGATGTAATGGATCAAGGCACAGTGTGCGCTTAAGAAAATGGAGAGCCCATTAAATAAAAGCATTTTCAGAGGGAAGAAGTACAAACATAGAAAAGATCCGATTATTCTCTAGATAAGGTGGGGTACGTTTGATGAGTGGATTCCTAGACACAGTCCACAGAGGCTTTTTGTATTTCAGATGATACCTTCTTGAGAGTCTCTTATGACCACAAGGATTAATCTTTCTGAACTCAGAAGTGAATCACTGCAGCAGATGAGCTGTCTGGAATGGTGCCAGTTACTCTCCTTTTTCTTGGTGGTAACTGATGTGAGGGTGTCGCTGCTTAGCTGCCTCTTCCTGTTGCTTTAACCTCTGGTATTTTAGATTCTCTTTAGGGAAGGGAATGCTGACCATCTCAGCACAGAGATCAAATGCACTTACACTGCTGTGTTGACCTCAGCGGTTGACCCACACACTGAACATTTATGCAGCTGGAACCCTTGCGGTCTTTTATCTAACAGCCATAATGAGTAACGCGTGGAACATAATCTTCGGTGCTGATAAATAGAGGGCTGCCTGCACAGTTCCGACCACTCCGCAGCTGGGCCTGGGTGACCTCACGTAACTAACTGACCCTGTGTCTTACGTGTATTCATTTTTGGAATCTAAGAGGTAAATCTCCATCCCAGCCCAACCCCCACTCCCCACTTGAAAGATTGCACATCACACCTAGAATTCTATTTGTTTAATAGCTGTCTTTAATGTTAAAAATATACAAGGCCAGCCCTGGCCAGTGTGGCTCAGTTGGTTGAGCGTTGTCTTATGCACCGAGAGGTCCCCAGTTCGAGTCCCAGTCAGGGCACATGCTGGGGTTGCGGGCTGGATCCCCAGTGGGGGGCATGCAGGAGGCGGCTGATCGTAATCTAGGTTTCTAGCCATAATCCTTAGATATGGCTCCAAAAGAAGAAAGGCCACCACAAGAGGCATTTTGATGCATGTCTTGAACTCATTGTGAGAATTCACACATTTGTCTTGTGCATCCTTTTACCATTTAATAAACACCATTAGTGTCCTTTTAAATGTTTTTCTTTTCTTTCTTTGGGGGAGATAGGACTCAACACCAATCTGTAGCTTCACATGCAGTTATACTGAAGGCACAGGATCTTCCTTCTGCTTTAATAAGTGACTATCATCACATAGTTACAGTCGATTCTAGTTCATAAAGTTGCAAATTGTTCTCCTGACTGGGTTTAATAGGTAGTTTTCAACCCAGATTAATGTAGGCAACGTTTTACTTCAAATGCCCTTTCTCCCAGCTGTCCAACAGGTGTTTGTGCTTCCTTCTCTTGTACTAGTGGAGAGCAGGCTAATTTTCATAAGTTTCATAGCAAAAGCTGTAGGATGGTAAATTTGTCCTGGAAAAGGATCGTAATGTATTTCATAATCTAATGTAGGCTCCTGATGGGGAGGACCATTCATGTCTGTGTCATGCATCAGCACAGATAAGTAAGAACTGCTTGGAAAGCACACATTTTCCATGTACTCAAGTCAGGCCTACCTTTCTTTACAGAAAACCATTTTATGTTAATTGCTCTAAAAAGAACAATAGAATAGCCCTGGCCAGGTAGCTCAGTTGTTAGAGTCCCAGTACACCAAAGTTGTGGGTTCAATTCCTGGTCAGGGCACATACAAGAATCAACCAGTGAATGCATAAATGAGTGGAACAACAAATCTCTCTCTCCCTTCCTTTCTCTCTCTAAAAAATATAGAACAATATAATTATGCAATTTAACCCTCCTACCCCCCACCCCCACAATCCAAGTTTTAACATTTTTTTAAAAGCTATTTAATTTTTATTTTGAAGGAACTTTCACTAGGAAAGACCACCGAACTCCGCTGTGGATCAGCCAGCAGTGTGGGCCTATTTCTAGATGTTGGGATGCCTGTGCTTTTTTCCTGCTGCCAGAGACTTTGCAGGAGCCTTACTGTCCTCAGGCCTAGATGTTGTTTCTCACCTGTAACTTAGGAGTTGTTAATGGCTGTGATCTTTTGCAAAGAAGAGAATGCTAGCCAGAAAAAGATTTTCTGCAGTAGTTGATTCTTTTTAACTAACACAAGGTAAAATTGTTCATGAAATCCCTTTTAGTGTTCTGTTTCACAAATGACACCATCACTTCTTAAGTAACACTAATCCGTCACCAAGTCTTGCTTGTTTTGCTCTCTGTGATCTCTTGACTCTGTCTCTCCATCACCCTCCTTTAGCCCAAGCTACCATTGCTCACATTTGGACTGTGCAACTCCAGCTTCCTGAGCCATTGCCCTGCATATACTCTGGGCTCCTTTCACTCTGTTCTTCACCCTCAACCAGAGAAAGCATCAGAGCTGCATTTTGAAAATACTAACTTTGTGCTTGAAACCTCTCCACACTTCCGGTGATAAAGACCAAAGTCCTTTCTTGGTCTACAGACTGTCCAGTCTGTCCCTGCATGCTCCCCTCCCACCTGTACCACTCCTCTTTCTCTCCACTTACGATGCTCAAAGCTCTGCTCTACTCAGTGTCATTCTCTTCAGGAAGCTGTCCTGATCATCTCATCCAAGCCCAAGGCCGGTTCCCTTTTCAAATGCTTCTTCAGTGCTGTGTAATTTTCCTCCTCAGGATGTCTGGGCATGGGATCACGCTTTTTGGGTGTATGGACTGCTGCTCTAGACCGCAAGCCCCGTGAGAGCAGGGGTCATAGCTTTCTGCTCACCCTTGTGTCCTAAGCATTTAGCTTGTTGGTTTGCATAATAGTAGCTGCTCAATAAAATTTGTGTAAGTGAATTGAATAAAATTACTGGAACTTAGACATGTTATGCTTTTGTGGTTCGATTTATTAAGAAAGTAGATTTTCTTATAATAGAGGAGACCGCAGTTATGTTATAGGTTCCCAAGTCAGAAGTATTCAGGTGGGGGGAGTGGGGGATAAATTTACCATTGATCTTTCACTCTGATCATGTATATCCAGAGGTCATTTTTATTCTGGGTTAGCTCCTGGGAAAGGGATTTGTTTATGACATAATAGTTACAGTGAAGAATTTTAAAAGATTGGTTCTACTGTCCCAGACAACTGAATATGACTGCCTTGGTGTGGCCTTCTTGCAGTAAAAGTGTTTTTTGCCCCCCTTTCGTAGGCTCTTGCGGCCAATGCTGGAACAGGATTTGCTGTCGCCGAGCCTCAGATTGCAATGTTTTGTGGAAAGTTGAATATGCACGTGAACATTCAGACTGGGGAGTGGGAACCTGACCCAACAGGCACCAAGAGCTGCTTTGGAACAAAAGAAGAAGTTCTTCAGTACTGTCAGGAGGTAAGAGTGTTGCCAGAAACTTAAAACCGCTTTGTTTCTGGGTCACATTTGAGCCTATTTGCCTTAGAAATGGATATTCTATCATTCTTTTCTTTTGACCTAAGACTAAGTGGCTAAAGACTGGTACACCGGGCCTTTGTTTCTAAGCTGTGAGGCGACTGAGACTTCTCAAAGGCTTTTGCCTTTGTGTGCTGTGAACCTCAGTTCTCTGAGGAAGGGATACTGTGGAAGGAATTCTGTACAGCCTGCTTCTCTCGGCTTCCACTTGTTATAGGAAGACGCGAAGCAGACATGTCGTGTGTGTGCTTGTGGTTTCCACTTGCTGTAAATGATCATCTCAAGTCTGAGTCAACTTGGTTTTGGGTTAAAACTTGACCTAGAAAAGGATATAAGAGGTTTGAATGAACTTCTTACCAAGACTGGCATATAGGGCCAGGGTCCTAGCATTGTTCTATAATTTTACTAACAGACACTTCCATGGACTTGCCTCTTAAATGTTTTAGTTCATGAACTCAGCTACTTACACATACCCTACAAGCATCCTTGATGTCTAGCAGATTTATTGGGCTTAAAGCTTGCTGCTTTTGTATTAAAGAGTCCTTTTTTTAAGAGAACGCATTAGTAGTCAGAAATCTGCCTTTCCCAAGAAAACTAATCGTTATGGTATCTTTTTACTTGAAGAGTTTATCTGGAGCCAGGGGCAACCGAGTGGAACTTTAGATTTACATAGGATAACAGTGACACTGAGTAAACAGACACTCAGCCTTCCTGGGAGGGAGTGTGCATTTATTAGAGACCCGTCCGCTCACTGCGAGTGTGCCTTTTCCTGTGCAGATGTACCCAGAGCTACAGATCACCAATGTGATGGAGGCCAACCAGCCAGCCAGCGTGGACAACTGGTGCCGGCGGGACAAGAAGCAGTGCAAGAGCCACATTGTGATTCCGTTCAAGTGTCTCGGTGAGTGCTCTGTAGACGTTCCTGGGTGCTTCTCAGGAAGTGGGGTCCCTCGTTTTTCAATTTAAGTTTCTCTTGACTCACAGTGAACTACCCACATCTGTTAAGAACCTGCGGGCTACACGGATTTATTGTGGGACTTCCTCTTTTGAATATTTATTGCTTTCTGTGTCGATAACGGACTTGTCTTCGCTGGTCACTAACTCGCCCTCTCCCATCATGGGCATCCTTGTCTTTTAGGGAAGGATCTTTTCCGTGGCACTGATGAGAGTGCTGCCCTCAGAGCGGCCCAGCTCCGCCTCCAGGGAGAGTGTGAGGTGTTAGAGTCCTGGTAGTGCGGGGGGCCGAGCAGCCCATGGATACAGCTCTAATGTGGACATCCGGGGTAGTTCTGTAGATGTGCATACTTTTAGGCATGAATTTAACTTTTTCCCTTCCCTCCCTTCTTTAAAACCTTTCCTCAAACGGAATATATTGCTTTTCTCATTCTCACATGCAGCAAAATAACAGGAAGAGTCAGCATCTGAATAACAGTATTTAAAATATGGAGCAATTACTTTGTTTTAAAGACCCAGTTTAAATTTTTTGAGATGAGGTTTAAGGATGTTCTTCCATTCCATTTGGCTCCAAGAAATCTCTGGGTATGAGGTTTCATTCATTCTCTATAAAATTCTCAAACTAGTATTCTTGACTATTTGTAGATAGCACTTGGAATCACTTCTGCCTTTTGCATCTTTACCCCTAAAGACCTTGCAGCCTGGTCTTCGCCCTCCTGTGTGTTCTGTGTCCCTCGCTGGCTCCACTACCCACCCAGAGCTCTGAGCTTGAGATCTGGGAGCCCTTTGTACATCCAGTCAGTTTTCAGGCCAGTCTGATTCTCGCCTCTGGAGTATGGCTTATGTCCATGTGTTAAGTGCACCGAGGCGCTCCAGGACATTGTAGCAGACTCACAGCGGCATTGTTGTGGGATGTTTGGGTTTTCAGGGGAAACATCTGTCAGACATCCCGTGAACTACTAGCTGGGAGTAATCACAGTTTCAACACCTGACCATTTTATTCCTTTCTATGACTTCATCTTTGTGGTTCCTATGATAAAAGGCCAGCATCACACAAAATCACTATAGAAGAAAGAAGCGTGAATGTGGTCAATCGATTCCAAGGTTGGAAGAGTTGTGTAGGGCCCAGCAGGCCCTAAGGGGTTAGGACACAAGTACTTACTCACTTGTTGGCCTAACTACTTGGATTTGGGGCATTCTTTTGCCCTAGGGGTGCTGTGACTCAAAAATTTGGGAACCTCTGGCTTACATCCTTTTCCAGCTGACTCCCCTGCTCTAGTTCAGCTTTCCCTCATTTCCTTCCTAGTCTAGGCTGACCACAGCCTCCATGCCTGTCCCTCAGGTCTGTTGTCAATGTGTTGCCTTCTGATCTAAAGTGAAGATTGAATTAAAGGGTGTTATCCGCACATAACACCCCTTAGTAGCTCTTCTTCAC